CTCCCTTATCTAGGTACTGGTACTGACATGATACAGATTAGATCAGTAAGAGGGTCCTGATGGCTTCCCCTCCTCTTCCCTTTACCTACAACCCTTGTTTTGTTTTCTTCTGATCAGCGCTCTGCACTAGCATACTTTACAATTGCCTTGGCACCATTTAATGTTGCACAAGAAATGAGGGTGAGAAGAAACAGGAGGGTGAGACTGAGACAGCCCAGTCCTAAATCAGCTCCAATACCTGTAGAATATCACATAGAATCGTTTTGGTTGGAAGAGTTATTTTTAAGATCATCAAGTCCAACCATTAACCTGGCACTGCCAAGTTACCACTAAACCATGTCTCTCAGCACTACATCTGCATGGCTTTTAAATCCCTCCAGGGATGGTGACTCAACCACTTCCCTGGGCAGCCTGTTCCAACACTTGACAACCCTTTCAGTGAAGAAATTTTTCCTTATGTCCAATCAAAACCTCCCCTCATGCAACTTGAGGCCATTTCCTCTTGTCCTATGGCCTGTTACTCGGGAGAAGAGACGGACCCCCACCTGGCTACAGCTTCCTTTCAGGTAGTTGTGGAGAGTGATAAGGTCTCCCCTGAGCCTCCTTTTCTCCAGGCTAAACAATCCCAGTTCCCTCAGCTGCTCCTCCTAAGGCTTTTGCTCTAGCCCAGCTTTGTTGCCCTTCTCTGAACATGCTCCAGCACCTCAATGTCTTTCTTCTTGTGAGGGGCCCAAAACTGTACACAGTATTTGAGGTACAGGGGAGTGATCACCTCCCTGGTCTTGTTCACCATACTATTCCTGATACAAGCCAGGTTGCTTGTTGGCCTTCTTGGCCACCTGGGCACACTGCTGGCTCATGTTCAGCTGGCTGTCAACCAACACCCCAAGGTCCTTTTCCACTGGGCAGCTTTCCAAAAACCCGTGCTGACTAGGCCTGATCACCTTGTTGTCCTGCATGTGCTGTGTGATGGCACTCAGGATGATCTGTTCCATAACCTACCCTGGCACCAAGGTCAGGCCGACAGGCCTGTAGTTCCCCAGATCCCCTTTCAGGCCCTTCTTGTGGATGGGTGTCACATTTGCTAACCTTCAGTCAACTGGGACCTCTCCGGTTAGCCAGGACTGCTGATAAATGATGATCACACCACCTTCAATTTGAAGAAGTTGAGATGCAGTTTTTATACCTGCAGCATTTCCTTTTGAAGATTCTCAAAAGTAGCTCTTAGGTAGTTTTAGGAGATAGGAAGAGCAATATTACTCTGCTTCTAGATAATTGACAGCATTGCATATCAAAAATATTAAAGTTTATTAGGAAGTAATTACAAGGCAGGCTTACTTATATGAATGCCTGCTTAACATTTGTCTTCCAAATTGTAGTTCTATCATAGCGTTGTCATACTGCTGTCTTGCTTGAGAAGTGAGTTCTAGTAAAACTCAAATGTTAAATGGAATTAATTTTTTTGTTCTACAGTTAATGGCAGAGCAGGGTTTTTCATATTTTTCCTTAAACGTATTTATAGTAGAGGGAAGTGCATTTGTTGTTAAATGGGTGTTGAGTAAGATCAGTGATACAAGCTTTGTTACTTATGTTCTCCTTGCTTTAAAAACAAAAACTGTGGTTGAACTTTGGTTGTGTAACTGTATTTTTGATTCAGGTTTGGAGGTGGCCTGCTTTTGAATGCTTTGAGGAAGACATAAATTAGCCTGTTTTCTTTACAGATAAAGATTGTACACTACTGGTTTGTCTCCACTGATACAGAATCAACTGATAATTAGCATAAGAACTTACTGAGTAGTGTCTTTTCCTCAATAAGCATCTCTCCTAGATATTTTACTGAGTATATCACTAGGACCTGTGTACCAGATCTCAGTTGGAACTGAACATTTAAGATGGGAGCATATGCATCTCCTGTTCGCCACTCTTCCTTTTGGAGGGGTTTACCACTTGGATCTTTTGAGAATTTAGTTATACTAGCTGTTTTCCGTTTCTGTGTATGTCTACTTTGCAATTCCAGGATAAGAATTTAGCTTTGTGTGAGATAACTGAATGACCTAAAATCTGCTTAGATGCTCCGGTCTCCCATACAGATTTTGTTTGTTTTGGACCTCAGTAGAGAGACTAGTTTATATATTTTATTTTGGAGTAGTATTTGGGTGACTTAAAATTAAAATGAAAGATACTATTATACTTCTCACTTGTTGTGAATGAATTAAGCATTCCAAAGTCCATGTAAATTCAGCGCTGCAGGCACCACTTCTGACTATGGGAAATTTTTATGATGTCTATCCTTAGAGATGCTAATAACACCAGATTTTAAACTTTCCGGTGGTCAAGGGTTGGAGGGGACCTGCTGTGTTGTAACTGTCATTGCTTTACTAATTCTCGTGCCTTTTCAAATCTTTCCCAAATGGATTATATTTTATTTTAAAACTAGCTCCTTTTTTATAACGTGTATTCTAATGAGAAGGCTATTACAAGACCCTGTCTAATTTTCAGCCTAACTTAAATAAGCTTTCTTTTAATATTAGCACTATTTTTTAGCTTTGTCTTCTCCGTCACTGCTCTTCTTCCCCCCTCCCACCCTTTTTAAAACTTAAGCTAATTAAGATCTTCATTGTAAAATTTTAAGATACTTGTAAACAAAACCGATTCCCTCTTTTCCCTCCTTCCCAATGGCCTAGCAGCAGGCATTCAGTACTTCCTCCTTAGCTTTTTTGATAAACTTCCTTTCTGGCATGTAACACCTACTGTTGCCAGGATCCTGAGGCTCTCAGACAGAAACTGCAGCTCTTGCCAAATCACACTTTGTATGACTGTTGCTATCTCCAAGATGCAATCTTGGCATGCAAGTGCTGTCTAATTTTCAAAAGCTATGTCCTAGAGACCTGTTAACATTTTAAAGTATGTTCTGTAGGCATACATCTGCCAGATACAAGATTGAGTAATCGTGGCTGCAATAGCAACATAAGCAATTGCACTGCCTTTTGTCTTCATGTGGTGGGTAGTTCTCTATTAAATATTTAAGCAGCTCTATAGGCAACAGAAATGAGTACAGCTTAATTATAAATTTTCTATGCCACTTTATTTGCTTTTTAAAATATATCATTGTGGTATGCTTGTTATTTTAATGTGGTGATCTCTAAATGTGTTGTTGATAATGTTTGCTTAGCATTTAAAACCTAGAAACAACCCGAGTTGTTGAATTACAGTAATAAAAAATTTCTTTTCTTTTGCCATAAAGATAACAGAAAAAACATGGCGACTGCTGTTTCATATTGGCACATGTGACAGAGTTCCTCTAAGATTTTTCTACTTTGAATTTTTTTGTCATGGTTCTTCCTTGTGATAGGCCAGATTTTGAATTACTCCATTATTATTTTGACTGTGGTGGGATTTTGTCCCCAAATTGTCTCCACAGTTAGTTGCAGACCAGCCATACTTAACATTGAAAAAGCATTAGGGCATCTTTGGATGGTCACGCTCAAAGAGTTGTGGCTGATGGCTCAATGTCTGAGTGGCATTCCTCAGGGGTCAGTATTGGGACCGGTACCATCTAACATCTTTGTTGGAGACATGTATGGTGGGATTGAGTGCACCCTCAGCAAGTTTGCTGACGACACCAAGCTGTGTGGAGTGGTCAACACACTGGAGGGGAGGGATGCCATCCAGAGGGACCTTGACAGGCGGGCCTGTGCAAACCTCATGAAGTTCAACAAGGCCAAGTGCAAGGTCCTGCCTGTGGGTTGGGGCTATCCCAAGCACAAATACAGGCTGGGCAGAGAAAGGATGGAGAGCAGCCATGAGGAGAAGGACCTGGGGATAAAAAGCTCAACGTGAGCCAGCAATGTGTGCTCACAGTCCAGAAGGCCAGCCACATCCTTGGCTGCAGCAAAAGAAGCGTGGCCAGCAGGTTGAGGGAGGTGATTCTCTCCCTCTACTCTGCTATCCTGAGACCCCACCTGGAGTACTGCATCCAGCTCTGGGGCCCCCAAGATAAGAAGGACATGGACCTGTTGGAGCAAGTCCAGAGGAGGGCCATGAAGATGATCAGAGGCAGGGGAGTGGAGCACCTCTCCTATGAAGACAGGCTGAGAGAGTTAGGATTGTTTAGCCTGGAGAAGAGAAGGCTCCAGGGAGACGCTATAGCAGCCTTCCAGTACCTAAAGGGGGCCTACAGAAAAGGTGGAGAGACTCTTTATGAGAGAGCGTAGTGATAGGACGAGGGGCAACAGTTTCAAACTGAAAGAGGGTAGATTTAGATTAGATATTAGGAAGAAATTTTTCACAATGAGGGTGGTGAGGCACTGGAACAGATTGCCCAGAAAAGTTGTGGAAGCTCCATCCCTGGAGGTGTTTAAGGCCAGGCTGGACGTGTCTTTAAGCAGCCTGGTCTGGTGGGAGGTGTCCCTGCCTATGGCAGGGGGTTTGGAACTCGATGATCTTCAAGGTCCCTTCCAACCCACACCATTCTATGATTCTATGATCTTTGTTACATTGAAGGATTTGGTTCATCAGAGACATTGTCTTTATGATCTGTCTGTAAGGTGACTTTGAATGTGACCCTTTCAAATGAGAGCAGGATGCTGTGTCTTGTCACAGGAATGATTGGATGCAACATGATTGACGAATAAGTGAAAGAGATGGGTGCCATCAAATGTCATATGTGAATGGAATGTAAAACTTGGTAGCTCTGACTTTTGTATGAACTGCTTAAGGCTGCTCTGCAACTAAACATTTGTCTCTGCATGTACTACTTTCTTCCAGAGGCTTATGTTGAAAATTAGTGTATTTGAAAGTGAGTATGAGAACATTCTCTACATGAGTTGGCAGTTTTGTCATTTGATCAGTTCTTTGTTCATGCTGTCAAAACTAGACTAAATTCTATTGAATGTTTTTGCTAAGCTTTTCTTTGATTTATATTCATCTGTCTCTTTCATTCTGAAAGTGGATGACTTGAATGTAAATGTTTTTTTTTTCTTTTTCTTTTCTTTTTTAAGGTGTATGTTGGTGAGCTTCCTCAAGATTTTCTGCGCATTACCCCAACCCAGCAGCAACAGCAAATCCAGCTGGATGCCCAGGCAGCTCAGCAGCTGCAGTATGGAGGAGCAATGGGTACAGTGGGCAGACTCAGCATTACTGTAGTACAGGTATAAATAGTACTGTCTTTATACAATTAAGTAATTGTAATTAATTAATGCAATTAATATTTTTTGATTGGTGGCCACAAAAAGATTTTATGTTGGAATTTGAGTTATTAAATTACTTGTATAGACGGAATGACTAATTTTTGAAGTTTTTGTAGCTTCGTGTTTCTGTACAACAACATTTTTTTCCAGTTTCATGCTTCATAGCTCCATCGTGCATGGTGCAGCAATTTTCTGTAAGTGGTGCTATTATAGCATGTAATCAAGTAACCTAATGTTTGATTTTGGGGTTTTTTTGCACTGAACAGTTTTCTCTGAAAACTTCTGTTAAGGCTTCCTGGAGAAACACTTAATGTTGGAAGACATTAGCAATTTTGAGAACATTGTAGGGAACTGCGGTTGCCTTATGTGCTTTCCGTGAAGTGCTTTTCCATCCCCATTTCCTCTAATGCATCTGCTGTTTTTCCTGGTGCTTTTTGCAGGTTTTCTTATAGTGCATAGTCCTAGCTCTTTATTTTCTGTTTCCTCTTTTCCCTTGTTATCCTTTCTTTTATCTCTTGGCAGTACTGTATTACGGCATTCATTGTGCGTAAGACTTCAGGTTTTAAAACTTGCCTGTCTTAACACAATTCTGGTTATCTCCAGCAGCATACCAAATGTCCTTCATATTAACTTAACACACCTCATCTATTTACACGTGTTTTCAAAAAAAAAAACCAAAGACATATTTAACCTCAGCTTTAGCACCAACCCTGGAATAGTACGCATATGGTTACAGCTTCCATGGTAAGGTCCTTATTGGGGAGTAAACCTATATAGGGTCTTTCAGGAAAAGAGGCAGCCATCCCTCCTTTCTGTGTCTTTCACTGGTCAGTTTGTTCCTTCACAGCCAGCATCCTTCCTTTGAAAACTGGGGGTAATGCTGTTTCAAAGTTTATTACTTCTAAGGTCTAGACACTTGAACTCATTCATTGCATTCAGTTGCAGCCCTCTTTCTAGTTCTGAGGAGTTCTTCAGTCCTGAGGTGTTCAGAAAGTGTAAGATTGGAAGCTGCTTCTGCAACTTTGAAGAGCGGAAAATTGTTACTACTTTTAGAGCATAGTCAGTACCACTTTTAGAGCAGTCTTAGAAGCTTTGGTGTATTTTTTTTTTTCCAGAGCTAGAAGTAGGTGTTTCAGGTTAAACAACATTTATCCAACAACGTACTGTGTCTCTCTTAACTGTCTAGCAGTTTCTACCAACTTGTATGCTACTCCATAGGTTGTTCATCTTTGGTTATTTCCTTGGACAGCTGAAACTTCTTTTTGTCACGAGATGTTGGTCCAATCAGTTATAGATGGTAGAAGTTCCTGGAGCAGATAAGGGGGCAGGCAGTACAGTGTTGAAGAAGGAGTTTTGCATCTCACTTTGAGTGGCTAGGTACAGAAACATCCAGATTCCTGTTTGGATGGGTGAACTGATGGAATTGATACTGGTCTTTTTCAAGTTAAATTCTTGTTTATTTTTAGGTGCTTGTGCAGACAAGAAAAATGTATTTATCTTGCTTGAAGAATAAAGCCTAATAGCTGTTCTTGATGCTGTGGCTGGATGTAACCACTTGTTACAGAATCACAGGATAGTTGAGGTTAGAGGGGACCTCTGGAGTTTATTTTATCCAAACCTCATCCCACCCCTATCCTCCCCCTGACCTGGCCAGTCCCTTAATCAAGGATTAAGGAGGATGTTATATACAAGGAAAGGCTGAGGCAGCTGGGCAACAGTCTTAACGGGGAATCTTATCAACAAGTAGTCCCTGTCATCAGGTATTTATGAAGAAGCTGGCTTCTTTGCTGCAAGGGTGCATTGCTGGCTTGTTTCCAACTTGGTGTCCACCAAGATCCCCAGCTGTTTCTCTGCAAAGCTGCTTTCCACCCAGTTGGTCCACAGCCTGTAGTGGTGTTTGTGGTTATTCTTCTTCAGGGGTAGAACATTTTCATTTGTTGAACTTTGAAATTCCTGTCTGTGCACCTCTCCAGCCTGTCAAGGTCCTTCTGAATGGCAGTACAACCCTGTGGTGTCCCAAGAGATAATCTTCTGTACCTGTATGAGAGTTTATGCACGAATACTGTGGGAATCTTGGCTGCATGTTGAGGCATGTGGCATTCTGGGTAGGAGACTTGGCGTAGTTAACCTGTGCAACATGAAATACTAGTTGAAGTCTTTCGTGTTTAAATATGTATTGATAAAGTATATAGAGCAGCATGCCTTAATTCTGTTACTGATAAACTGGTGGAAGATCAGAAAATACCTTTTGGAAGGTAATTTTCTGCTTTTTCTCCCTTGCAGATACGTAGGAACGGTGGTGAGTTTGTTCAAGCGTGGTTCATTGTGTCCTCTAAATTACTAGAGGGAGAATTTATATGCCCTTTTTCTTTTAGTGAAGTTGTCTGGTAAGCTGCTTAATATGGGGACTTCAGAGTCTAGAGAGTGCATAATTTAGGTGCTACTTTAATTGTTAAGCCTGCTTTTACAAGGAACAGTTTGAGACATTTCTCTCCAGCTCTATTGTATGAATTACTGAAGGAAAAAAGGGCTTTCGTGGCCAGAGCTGCAGCCATTGTGATTAAATCTTATGCAAGTCTCAACTGTTTCAGTTCTTTAAATGTCCAGTAAGTAGGAGGTGTCCTAGGCACCATATTTTGTCACTTGTCTTACTATAAAAAGAACTATAGGCTGCTTAGTACAGGTCAGCGAAACAGCTCTTCCAAAAAGTCTGATTTCTACTTTGGCATAGCTGTGCAACAGTACTCAGGGTTTTCTTTAGGAGTGTCACCAACTTACTTTGTTCTATTCCTCTGGTGTTACAGAACAAGTAAGTTAGATATCTTCTGATTCTATACAGCATCTCTTTTTATAATGTAAATGTAGATCGTAAGATGCCCACTGAATTAAGTAATATCAAGTACACACTCTGAATTAAGTAAGTTTTTTAATCACTTTCAAAAGTATGATCTACTAGATTTTACCTCAGTTGAACTGCTTTTACAATTTGTGCTTTTGTATTGTGTGATATTCTTGAAGCTACTGGATTTCTGTATTTCATCCTTTAGAAGTACTTCAGTGAAAGAGAACAGGCTACCTATCACATTACGTTTCTGATTGTATATTGGAGAGCAGATACCTAGATATAAATTGAACTTACTACTATTTCCTTGCAGTCATGTATCTTTTGGTTTGGTATGGAGTAACTTAGCTATGGTGAAGATGTATATTTTCTACAACAGACAGGTTAAAAAGAGGTACACTTTTAAAGGTCCCCCAGACATTTAATGGTCTCATTAGATGTACTATGTTTTAATCTGAATGATGGGGTTTTTTGTTTTGTTTTTTTTTGTCTACCTTATAATTGAATCTAGTCCTTTGTTCAATATCTGATTCTCTTTTTGAACTAATAGTAATTAACTTCTGAAGTTAATGTAAATATTATACACTTATAGGCTTTCTTTTCTTTCTAGGCAAAATTGGCAAAGAACTATGGAATGACCCGCATGGATCCATATTGTCGAATACGGCTGGGGTATGCTGTGTATGAAACTCCAACAGCACATAATGGAGCTAAGAACCCCCGTTGGAACAAAGTTATTCAGTGCACTGTTCCCCCGGGTGTGGACTCTTTTTATCTAGAGATATTTGATGAGGTCAGAACTGCTATTTTTCCCCCCTTCCTCCCCATCTCCTGTTTGGACTGAGGTTTGGGTGGAATTTTGCAAAAAAGGGTTGAGTTACCAAAGGCTGTGTTTTAGCTGTGCTCCCTGGGAGATGGTGAAAATTTTTCAAAATCCTAAGAGCAGCAATACATAAGGTTTCACTCTTCCCCAATAATGTCAGAGCTATTACTTTTCCTTTGGTATCTGATAAGGGGCATTAGCAGGGTTCCCTCCAAACGAGGAGAAACAAAAATGTCTGAGTGGTGTTCGATCTCCTCGTTGCTATCAAAATGCCCTGCAGCCTTATATTCTGTACTATCCCTACTAAAAATAGTTTCTTTATACAATGACGTTTTACTCAGAAATTCTTCAGTATTATTCTAACCCAGGAGGACCTTGGAAACTTTCCCAAGCTTGGAAATGCTGAGAATAAAACTATCAAATATAGACTGTGTAGTCACTAGGATTTATTAGCAGAGACATAATGTAATCTATACTTGCCTGAATTTCATTCCAAGTGGGCATATAGGCTCTTGTCTGCTTTGCTTAAGACGCAGTGGCAATAAATACCTAACCTCTGAATAATTTCATTTTCTTAGAGATTGAATGGGTCTGATTACCTACTAGAGTTGTTATTCTGCTCTACAAAGCTTTTGTAGAGGAGTAGTCTTGAATTCTAGAATGTTCTTCTACTAGATACTGTTATTGTTGGCAGCAGGGAATATGTGCAAGCATCTCGGCTGTTCCAGTTCAGGATATTGACTTTGAGTTAGTTCACTTCTCGAACAATTTAGAATTGCAGAATGGTTAGAGTTGGAAGGGACCTTGAAGATAATCTAGTTCCAACCCCCGTGCCATGGGCAAGGACACCTTCTACCTAGGTTGCTCAGAGCCCCATCCAACCTGGCCTTTAAACGAAGAGGCTACAACTGAGGCTGAAGTCTGTGATTTGCCTTTTTTCGTGTGTGTAGTAAAACTTGGCTCTGCACCAGCTGTGTGGTCATTACACAAGTGAGGCTTTTGGATGCCATTTTGTGGGCTTAGTTGAGTGCTTGAAGTGTCTGTTCCATTGCTGCAGCAGGGGTGGCAGATCAGTATTTGTATCTGCTCTTAAATTACTGGAGTTCACAGCCTGTAGTAGTAGGGTAAACAGAAACTGTTTACTGTTTAATGGCCTCTGATATGATGTCACTAGATTCACAGACTATGCTGATATTAGTATGTTGTATTTCTAGAAGTGTTCTGCTTCAGGTTTTCAATTTCTTATTGTTAAATATCTGTTATCAATATAATTCCATTTACAGCATCATTCATCCTTGTTGGAAAAGATGGCTAAAATATTTACTGACACTTTATTAATTTCAAAAGGAATAACTTAAAACTAAAATTGGCAAAATGAAATAGCATAAAACTGAAGGAAGTGTTAGTCAAAAATAATTTTAAGATATCTTTTTTTTCAGGACAATTAGCTTGATAATATTTTTTAAATTATATTCCAGCGGGCCTTTTCAATGGATGACCGCATTGCTTGGACACACATTACAATTCCTGAGTCTCTGAAACAAGGAAATGTAGAGGATGAATGGTATAGCCTGAGTGGAAGACAGGGTGATGACAAGGAAGGAATGATTAATCTGGTTATGTCATACACGGTAAGCCAAGTTTGGGTTGGGAGGAGGAAGGGACGGAAGCTTCTTGGGTGGTGGGAGGAGAGAGATTTTAGATTGAAGAAGTAGTTCCATTGTACCACACCTGTGATTGTTGTAGTACTTCCATTGTACCACACCAAGTTGGTTTTGAGTGCACAACTGGGAACAGGTGTTCACTGCTGTTTGAAATTCGTGTGCGCCCCACATGTGAACAGTTGTTCCATTACCCGTAGGATAAATGATTTTGTAATTACTGTCTGCCCATGAACGTGTTATACACTGAATCTGACCTTTTAATATTTTCCAGGATCAAACTGAACAGGAATTGTGGTAGTAAAAGGGAATGGAGTTAAATTGATATTTTGTTTAAAGTACTGGTTTACTTCAAAAATGGTTGATTTGAACCAAAATTTGCTTCTAGGAGCAGTGTACTACCTTTAATAAAATGCAGGTTTGCTCTAAGTTACCATTTACAATGAATATCTTGTACGTTCATTTCACAAGAGTAAGGCATGAAAGCTGATTAAACCCCTGTTTTAAAATAGTTTGCTTCAGTAACAAAATTTTGGTTGCAAATTTTATCACACTGTTGCAAAAGGCTAGTTTGACATGATGGGTTTATATTGATTTACAGGCAAATTAATTGTCATTTAAAAGTATGGTAGTTCAGTTGATTTGCTAGAGATATAGCTTAATATAGATTAGCACTTAGCATAGTCTTAATATTGAACATGGAAAATGGATTTACAGTGTGATGATTTTTTTGTAAATACTGTTTTAGTTGCTGTTTTAGGGTTTGTTTTTTTTTTTTTTGTTTCTTGAGTAGTTCTAATCTGTTCTGATCTGTGCTCTTTGTGTCAAGTCTTTGCCAGCTGCCATGATGATGCAACCTCAGCCAGTGGTGCTGATGCCCACTGTATATCAGCAAGGAGTTGGATATGTGCCTATAGCAGGTATGTTTTCTCTCCTTGAAGACTCTTAAAACTTCCAGATGAAGGGTTTTGCAGAAATAACTACTAAATTTCTCCTGGTTTTTGGAATGTGAAGGAAGCTATATATGATTTTGTCTGTGACCACTTTTCCCAGGATACATTTCTGGGAGGAGAAGAGTGAGCAAATTATGAGTAGGTCTGCTTTCAGTCTTGTACCCTGTTTAGGGGCGATCTGTGAGTTTGATTAACTGGATTGAAATGACTATCAAGTTGGAACAAGTAGCTTGGTGGCTTCTCTTTCTGAGTATTTATTTTAGACTTATGTGAGGTCACTGAGTAACTAAATATCTAGCAGGCTGCACTCTTAATATAATATGTTCTTATTTAAATGGTGGCAATCCACATGTGAAACTGTTCAGACTTCAGAAAGTGCACCAAATGACTTGTGTTATCAGAATTGCAGCTTAAATAGCCCGTAAAGGGATTGACTCTTCTGTGGTCTTTGAAGGTGCTTTGTTGAAAACTTGCTACACAGCATGTGAAGTGTGTATCGCAGTGAATGAAAAATGTTAGGGAGCTCCAAGATAGTTATGTATATGCATCAAGAAGAGCTAAAGGAGATATTGTCAGTTCTCTTAGTCTGTGCAAAGGAAGTTTTGGACTTGTGTAGAAAGATGTGTTAATTTAGGTTTTGTAATTTTTCTATCAAAGATTAAAAGCTCAAAGTATGTAAATAAGCTTGAATTTGTCCTTAGACAACTGGTAAGTAAAGTTTGGTTGGGTTTTTTTTGTGTGTTTCACTTACAGCTGTTAAAAGCTTCAGGTTTTTTTGTATGGACATTTATTCAGTAATATATGTACTTTTTATTGAAAATAGGGTATAAATTTCCATAGTTTGAATGTCATTGCATACAAGTGTGTGAATGAGCAATAGAGCGCGTAGGACATAATTGCAGTGCTAAGGGCTGACACAACAGATTATTTTTTTTTTTTTAAAAGACTCATTTTTGATTGAATTTAAAATTTTACTCTCGGAAAACAAACCTCCTCAACAGAAGACTGGATGTGTAACTTAATGAATCATACTTCCTTTTTCATTTTTGTAGAGTTAAGTTAGAGCAAAATGTGGAAAAGTTTGGTTACATACTTTTATTCTCTGAGAACAGGCAGTTTGCTTCTTTTAAAGTGCTTTTATCTCTATAGCTTAATTCTTAGGATTTAATTCTTCCTTTATTTACCAACAGACTTAGTTTCAACTTGTGTGTGCACCCTGAAGTGTGATTCTGTTGTGTAAGCCAGACTTCTGTGTAGCTTTCTGTGTTTGAATTAGATGCTGTATCTTTTTTTCTATATACTGAAGCAGTTAGTGAACTTCAAACATAGTTCTCTTGTGTGTGGTTAAAAGAAAAACAATAGCTGGGGTGGTACATATAGCGATGTAAGAGAAGGTGCTATAGAATTTTTTTAACAGATCAAAATGAGAATATCCGTATTGCAAAATCACTATACCAGTCTGAGTACAAACAGTAGAAATGAAGAGACTAGTTTCCAGTATAATTGAAACTAGACATAGAACTGAAAAGATAAAACCGATACGAGACTTTCAAAGTTAAAAAACAAGTACAGTGGTGTGTCTTGATGTTCAGACCTTGGTGTTCTAAATTCTGTATTTATCTTGAATATTTTCAGTAGTATTTATTAAACCTACTTGGACAAGTAAAGAAATAACTAGTATTTAGTAAGTGGTAGTAATGTCTGACATCTTAGCATGTAAGAACTTGCCTTTGTGTAACAATTTTATTCATCTGTATGTTGGGGCATTGCCCTTCTGGAGAGATTCAGCATGTTTGTTTTAATTAATGCTATGATAATATTCTGTATTAAAAATTCTTCCTGAGTCTATGACTTGTATTTTTAAAGTATTGCAAAGTAATGAAATTGAAGTAATTTCAAATTATAAAAAGAACCAATAGTGCATCTTGGAAGACATGGAGTATTGTCAGAATGTATTCTATATACTGAACTAGATGCTCCTCCTGGATTCTGTAAACTCCTTCAGAAAGGTGCATGCAAACTACTGGCCTTCCCTGCACATCTGAATTGATTGTATCTTCTGGGGAACAGTTGGTACACTTTCTTTGGAACACTCTTCAAGTTTTTCCTCTCTATTTGAGACTACCTCTAGAAGGGTAATGGTAGGACATCAGTGTGCTCCACAGGAGTATGTTTACCTTCTCCCCATCTTCTTAGTTCGGGTTTTTTACCTATCCAGTTAAATGACTGTAGTCAATAAGCAAGTTCTATTTGTTCCCTTCAACAGGGTGGAAGAGCAGCACTGAATAGTTTATTACATCTGAAATGGAGGAGATTCTGCTGTTGGGCAAGGCTGTTAGAATTGAAGTCTTATCTGTGATGGAAATACATCGAGCAGACTAAAATGCTTATCCAAACAATTGAACAGTTATTTCTTAACTGCCCAAAATAATTGCACTTTAAAGAGATGCGGTGTTAAGTCAAATTTAGCTGTGTCATGAAGGCCAAGCTGTTTTTTCTGTAACAGAAATTTTCTGTTCAAGACTTAGTATATGTAACTAACCTAATTAAAGTTGAAGAAACTAATTCCTCTCACACGTATCTCTATCATACAGAGGTAAATAGTAGTAGCAAGCAGGTAGTCATTGTGGTAAGCAGATGAAGCTTGAAATGCCAACACAAATAATGCTTTTTTCCTCACGCTTGATGATAGATGTTACAGACTTGTGAGGAAAGCAGATATGGCCATAAAGTATTCTTGCACCATGTTAATTAATTTCAAAAGTTTTGAAAATTAAAAACTTCTGACAATGGCACTAGTTGCTACAAACTATAGTTGCCATTGATGATATTTATGGATTAGCTTTGGGGAAATTTGAACTTCAGTCCTGTTGCTCTTCTAAAAGTTGAGCTTATTGGCCATCTGTTACCGTTTCTTTTTCTAAAGATTACTTAATTTAGGCTGTAGAATATTGTGGTATACTGGTTGCTTACACTGCAAGCTGATCTTCTTGATAGCGTACCAAAGAGTAAGCTAAAAGAAGTTAGTTCAGTGAAGCAAGCTATATTTCTTATCAGCTAAATTTTCATGGGACAAATAGGAAATCTGTTTGTACTTAGCTTATAAACAACTGTGTAAAAAGTAGGTTAAACCCCATGTGTCTCAAGGCTCTGTCGGAGTCCAGAATATCATTTTTCACTGAGGCAAAATTGTGTGTATATGTACATTACTCCTTTAGGTGTCTGTGTTGAGTTTTGTGGGTTAGCTTGTGATGTTATTGGTATTTGTGCAGAAAATCATGGATGTATGTTGTCCTTTGTGGGCTATATAAGTAACCCTTGCTGCAAACATGTGGTGGCTTACTTATTTTGAAAATATTTTCTCTAATTGTTACTTCTGTGCAAACAGCGTATTTGGGAAACTCATTCAGAGTGCTGAAGCACATTAGTTGGGAGGCTGAATCCTATCAGCATTTAGGTTTTGATATTAGGTAGTTTAGATTTTACCCAATTTCCTCAGTTTATCCAGCTTTCATCTTTGGAAGCGAAATGGTTCATTTCCTTTTAAAAATAGATTAATATTTCTTTCCCATGTCTTATTCCTTTCCCCTTGCCCCTTCATTTTCACCTATCTTTAGGGCTTGAGTACTTTGCTCTCGGTAAGTTTCCAAGCTCTTTTCTCACTCCCACGGTCATTGACTCAAGAGTCTTTGCATGAACTCATCTCAACAGCTTTATTTGTTACAGCAGACTGTATCACAAGGTATTGCCACTTGGATGTCACAATAGAACAGTTTAATGCATCTCTTGGAAATTATTAAAGCCCTTCTAACCTGTTGGAAAGTCTTTAAAGACATTCGTTCCGCTTCAAGCTGTAATGATTAAAGTAATTGGTGATAGTGGTGCTGATGGATAAAATGTGATGTCAATATTCTGAAACTGTTGTATATCAGTGAACTATTCTAGGTGATAGTACTGGTTTCGTAGAAGAGAAACTTCAACCTTGTAGTTGTTCTGTTACTGCAGGGTTTGGGGAGAAGCAGGTAATATCATGACTTCTGTAAATTTGGAAGTGAAGAGCTCAGTTCTGCAATGACATTGAGAAGACAGCCTGCCTTCTGCTAATCTTCAAATAAGCCTTTTTTCCAAAAAGATAAAACTTTTTTGTCAGTGTATATCTTTCATGAACATCTGTTTTAGATATATGTCAAGTTAAGCGTCTGACTTGAACTCTAAAGGCAAATTATGTTATAGGAAATCAATTTTCCTTCAAGTAGACTTACTTTACTATGACACCTTTGATTTTGAATTGTGCAAAGATACTGTGACATCCTTAACTTTGATAAAAGCATTGGTCTTTTAGTGATAGGACGAGGGTGACAGTTTTAAACTGAAAGAGGGTAGATTTGGATTAGATATTAGGAAGAAATTCTTTACTGTGAGGGTGGTGAGACACTGGAACATGTTGCCCTGAGAAGTTGTGGATGCCCCATCCCTGGGAGTGTTCAAGGCCAGGTTGGATGGGGCTTTGAGTAACCTGGTCTAGTGTAAGGTGTCTGCCTATGGCAGGGGACTGGAACTAGATGATCTTTAAGATCCCTTCCAAGCTAAACTATTCTATGATTCTATAAAATAACAGGTTTACGAAGCACGTGGACAGTGCAGAAATAAGTCACTTTGAAGAGTCATTCAGATCTTGATTGTTACAAAAAATGGCTCAGCCTTTCAATCAAGTATGGCCAGAAAATGCTAGAATTACTCCTTGTGAGTTAAAAAGTCATTTCTTGATGCTCCAAATTTCAGAAAGATGCTGTGAATAAAACTGATGTGGTTGTTGCAACATATTTGGTTTATTCAGAGCATTGTAAGCAACGTTTTAAAAAAAAATGAGGTGTTGTCATGCATATTCTAGCACCAAATTTTTTTCAGGAGCAAATATCATTAAAACCTATTTGTATTTTTAAAAAAGGTGGTACTGATTTCTTCCTTTAGTTGAAAATCTGTGCTGAGACACTTCTGAAGTTTACTCTGAAAGGGTCTATGCGTGGGATATAATAATAATAATGAGTTAAGAAATTAAACATAGGGCACTTGACTGAACCATAAAATAAAATTAAAAGTGTGTAATGCCTTGTGTGCAGTTAGAAAATGTTTGCCCTGTTAATGCTGCTTTGATGCTTCCATTGCTGCTCCTAACAATTGACTTGCTATTTGTACATACTCGTTTCATGTGTTGGAATGTCAGTGCTTCTGCCGGCATGTTTGCAATGTTCATGTCACAGAATTGGAAAACAGTGCTCCATTCTTCTGATTTATATAACACCTAATATCTGAGAGCAATACAGGAGTGTGGAATTCCATTTGTAGTGGATTTTTATATGGTTTAGTTTCGGTTTTTGCTTGTTAGTGAAATGAGGTGCTTAATATGTAAAGCAACTTTTTACTGAACATGGATCATTTTAAAGTTTATTATAACTTTCTCTAATGACTGCATATATATATGTGTATTTGCTAAATTTTAGTGTGTAGTTCTTTACGATTATGCTTAAGTCTTGCTTACTATTTTGTAAGTCAAAGTATGGATGCTTTTAGCCTGAGTGTGGGAGAAACCAAAAAGCCAAGGTACTCTTTAAATTGGTATGTGTATAGCTTGAATTTTGAGTTTTGGGAAAAGTAAGCATTTATCATGGAAACATTTGTTAAAAATCACTATGATCCTAACTTCCGTTTGTATACAGCGTAGTTGTAGACAGTGTAAACTAATTCTAGAACTGTAAGAGCTGGGAAAATGGATTTTGAAAATCATTAATGAAAAACAATACTATCAAGAAGATTCTTGTCTCTAAAACTGCATATTTAGATTTGAAAATACTTCTTGAGTACTGCTTGTGCAGATGTCTGGCTTCATAATTACCTTGTTTTGATGAAAGCAGTAAGAAAAACTGTGCTGGTCTTGATACTTTTTTTTTTTTTTGACACGAACATGACACTGAAACTTTATTGGTAAGCTGTAGAATGCTGTGGTACTCCAGAAGTGAGCCTCATGTTTCATTTGGATTAATATTTTAAACTGACCTCTTGTATGCATGGTTCCTATACAATTTAGGCTGATAGTTGGATAATCTTATGGTCCTGATGACTTACTGAAGAGTATTGGGAAGCTTGTGGTAGAAGTAAAACATAACTTCTATGGCTCTGTTCTTTCAGGTACTTTGCAACTTTATTTTTTGAGGCCGTGCATCTTTGTTCACCTCTTGTAAATGCCTAGATTGCTTGTAGGAAGCGTGAGGAACGAGTTGAGGCTTGTTGAAGCTGTAAAAGTGGCAATCTGAAATACTGCTGAATATGACGATTGAGTAAAGTGTATTTGCAGCATTGGTGAGGTCTGCGCAGTAGTTTGCCTCCAGGGTGTACATGTGGTCTGGCAAACCTGACATTCAAACACACAGCACTAGACAGAATTCCAGGGAATGCTAAATGGCATGAGAAGGTCTAGAGCTAAAGTTTAGGTTGTTGCGGAAGAGATGATAGATACCCTTGGTAATGGTGTGATGCAAATGGCTGGGCAGAGACATGATTCCAGTGCGTAGGTAATAAATTCATCGTGAGAGGGACATTTCTTTAGTTGCCACCATGAACCTTTTCGAATAGATGCAGCCTGTACATTAGACTTAAAGCATCTAGGTTTCTTTTTTGCTTCTAGTAAAACTTAAGGTGATTACAAGGGGAATTTTAAAATCAAAATTAGAGAACATTGGTAACTACAGAGGTGCTTACAATTCAGTAATGCATCCCTTCAGATAGGACAGAAGTCCAAGTTGAGGAAAGAAATAGCAGAGAGTATATCGGGTAAAATCAAGGTTGAAATGCACACGGTCAAAAAAAAATCAGTTACAGTACCTTGTCAGCCAGAGTTCATGTAAGTTAAGATGGGTTTAGGTGATCCAACCTTGAATGTGAATTTTAATATAGTATTTTTAAAGCTGATAGAAAAAAGATAATCACTGAGATGCTAAAATACGTCTGCAGGTTAGAGTGAGCATAGACATTTCTGATTAAGTAGTTACAGGTTAAAGAAAATCTTGAAGAGACAAGGTAAGTATTGAAATTGCCCTTCACTGTTGGTTTTTTTTTAGGAGATGTTAAGTCTGAATAGAAGTAGTATAATATAGTTGCAATACATTTGATCACTCTAGTACTTTACTCACTATGCTAAGAAAGATAAGGCTGCAAAGAGGCACACTTGAAAATTATGTCAGTTGTAGGTCTGCTTTAAGTTATGCTTTTTGAGCAGTTAGTCAGAATTCAATAGAAGAGAAGCAGCTTTTGATCTACTAGAAGAGAAGCAGCTTTTGATCTACTCTTGAGTAATATATGAAACCTGGTTCAAAAAGTATGTTATTTTGAAGATGTATAATAGTGGTGATGCGAATAGTTCATCCTTTGTTTAGCTTAAGGAGAAGAAATTAAGGCCACAGAAAGCTAGACAGGTGAACTAAAAACTATGTAAAAAAAGTTTAGCTACTCAAAGGAGCTGTGTGCCAAATTTTAAAACAAAACAAAAAACACTCTTGGAGAATCCTAAAAAAAAAAAAATCTGCAGTAAAACAGTAAAGTAGGTTTCTGCCAAACGTTGGTAGGTCTGCCCAAATGAGGGGATGTGAGAGATTTAAATTCTATATTAAATCTAAACTGGTAATAAGGTTGGCTATGAAAACCTTTGAAGACCAAATGTGTAAAGAGTTGAGAACTATTTATTTTAAAGAAGCAGAGAACCTAGAATGATTTAGGTAATTAAGTGACTATAAAGATACAAGTATATAAGGGAGTAGAAAAAAACCCAAACCGAACAAAACACAAAACAGTTGGAACATGAGACAATAATGAGGGGGCAGGAAAAAAGTGCTTGATTTTGTCCGTCATGGGAAGGAAATGTTTTTTGTTTTTTTTTTTTAATGGAGAAGAAGCCTCAGATTATAATTTTAGTGTTTAACACTAATTGTTAAGATCATCGGTAAAAAAGTGCAGGTAAGATAACATTTATTCCCAGTCTTGTGTTTTGAATGTTTTTACCAAACAGAGTATGTACTCTATCACTTAATTAGTCTTGCTTTCAGAGGCCTGGAGAATAGCAAACTGATTTTTTTTTTTTTTTTTTTTTTAAAACAGTTCTGAAGTAACTATTTTCCCTGTTGCATAAACTGATTAAAACCTGTGGAGATTAGAATAAGCTGATTTAAACCAAACAATAGGTAAACGTTAGGAGGAGGTGATGTGGTTATGTAGGGGAAGCTCATTCGTACCTTAAAAATTATAGGTGTATGAGTATATGAGGGTAAGAATGATGTGGTCTCTGTATTGTCAGCTGCATTTTGAAAATGTTATTTGCTATGGACTCTTATCATATGGTATCCTGATACAGTGACGGTCCTCTTGTGGTTTGATAGGTATTTTGAAAAGCTGATAAACACATCACAAGTGATGAGTCATCCCCTTATGGAGGGAGGTCTTCAGCAGGGTGCATCACATTTTTTAAAAGGCTAACTGAGGGAAGGCGACTAATATAAAATTTGTCAAAACAAAAACAATTTTCTAGGTCTGTCTGACGGCAACAGGTTACAGAAGGATCTTGTTATAGTAAATGGGAAATAAAATCACATATTAAGGCTAGTGTTAAAGCATTGTGTAAAGAAAAATCTTTACTTATATGTACTTGGTGATGGTTTATTGATTGGTCATTGCTACACAAAAAGATCTTTGAATTACTGTGGATTATTCTAAGAAATCACCAGATGAATAGTGTTTGAAACAGTGGTTAAATCCCTGAAAGCAAATAGAGAACAAATGCAGAAACTTTATTATGCTGCTGTGTGAAGCAGTGCCACTTTTGCATCTAGATGCACATAGTTCTCCTTGCTCTACCTTAGAAACAATACAGCAGAACTGGAAAATTTGCACACAAATGTGTGGGACTAAGGTAATCATGGGTCTGGAACTACTTAGAGAAGTGAAATAGCAAAAGACTCTAGATGTGTACTATACCTGGTTTCAGTTTTATAAAAATCAATGGTAGATTTTTTCAAAAATGGATCTATGCTTAGTTAATGCTACAAGTTAAGTGATGAAAAGACACTTTTGTCTAGTAATTCCTTTTAATGGGAATTAGAAAACTCATTTTCTAAAACTGTCTTTATGGACTGACAGGGCTTTAATTTTACACAGACATGCAAGAAGTTCATGAAAAATGTCAGATGAATTTTGTCCTCTGGCAGAGGAGCAGGGAAAAGCAGTGTGTACCCCTGTAGGCATAAAAGGAATTGCTCTCTTGCTACGTTGTGACTTTGCAGGTTGAACTGGATGGAACTTGAACCAGGGAAAAACATTTGCTTAAAATTTACTTATGCGTGTGATCCAGTCTGCTAGTGGACCTAAGGACTTTGCTTCCCTTTGAACACAGTGGAGATTGCGTTCATTGCATTTCTAAATATCAGTTATTTATATTGTTGATGTAAAACCATCTTTTTCATCACAACATAAATACACTAGGAACTGCAGTACGATGGGAGCCGGGGGGGACATGGACACGGGATGACGAACCACATCTTTCTGTGGTGCACATAGTGTTTGGTTAGTGATTCATGTGTAAACCTGGTTAATGCAAGTCATACCTAATTTTGAGCTGTACCTGTTGCCATACTGTAGTTTACCACTTCTGGAACATAACTTGGGCAGATAACCTGTTCCAGAAAGATGTATTCTGATTGTAACAGTGTAGATATAGTCTTTGCAATCTTGTCTTTTTTTTTTTTTCTTCAATCACTGATATTTATTTTTTTTCATTTCCTCCCCCCCTCACGTATGTTTTGGTTTTTTTCTTCTGTTTTTTGCCTGCAGGGATGCCTGCAGTCTGTAATCCAGGCATGGTGCCAGTGGCAATACCACCTCCTGCAGTCAACCCTCAGCACCTGTGTAATGAAGAGGACCTGAAATCAATCCAGGACATGTTTCCCAACATGGACAGGGAAGTAATCCGCTCAGTGCTAGAAGCTCAGAGGGGGAACAAGGATGCAGCTATCAACTCCTTGCTTCAGATGGCTGAAGAATCATAGATCCCCACTTCCTGCATAGTACCCGTCCTCGATACCGCTTATTTTTACTTGCCAAGCCAGGGATTTAGCTAGAGGAAGAATTTCCCAACAGCTTTCTGTTAGCTCATCCTGTGTGAAAAATTATACTCCTTTTCTCCGTGGACATTTGAATCTTTTTCACTTTCTTTCTCAATCTGTACATACTCAGTTTAGCTTATGTCCTACAATATAGCATTGAAGCATCTTTACTATCAGCTGTGCCCTGTGTGGCTATATTCTGATGCGGTGGGGAGTAATGCTGCTTTTTTTCTTTCTCTCCCCCTTTTCATAAACTTGTTCTTAAAAAGTAACTCTATGCAGTACAGGATTTACTACTGTTTGATAGATTGATTTATTTTTTTTTCTTTTTTCCATGGTGGATTAGCTCTTTAAACGTAACTGATTTGTTGAAGCATTTAGGTTTCATCAAGCAGCCTAATTCTGCCAGAAATTAAAACAAAGACCCTTTCTTGTCCTGTGGTGCTGTGGTATATTCAACTGTTTCTGACTGAAGATTTTTAATTTAATAAGCTAAATTTGTTAGATTGCATTGTTGGTATTTGTAATGAGCATATTCTATTCAATCTAGTCATTGGGCACCAAAGCAATATATTATCTGGCATGCATTTGGGGCTTTATACTCCCGTATACTATTGTTACATATCTGTAAAATCTTAACAGGTAACTTTTAACTTGTACAATATGTATTGCTGTAGCAGAAAACAGGACTGAGCCCTAATGTACTCCCACACTTAATTGCACTCTTAACTACTACTTCTGTATTCCCATGGCTATTTCAAAGGCAAAGTGCAGAAGGAAAGGTTTTTATACCTGGAAAATTACTGAAGCCGTGAACAATTATTTAAGGTGTTGTCTTACATTAAAGAAGCAGAAATCTATGATCTGGTTATAAGGCTTCTTTCTTTACACATATTTCAGCAAAATTATCACTTTATATTAGTGGAAAAACTATTGTGTTTTTTCCTGTAATCTGAAATAAGCATGAAAAGTAGCTTCAGAATCCTTGAATGGCATTATGAGTTGCTCAGTGACTTGTTAGACTACAGTTGCTGTAGTCAATTAATTATTATTTGATGCAGGTGGAAATAAATTCTTTGAGAGAAAATTTAACATATCTGAGTCGCAATCTGATCCTCAGAGGAGGTTGGAGGTTGCTTGTATTTGTTAGTGTTATTTTTTCAGATAGCTGTTCATCTTGGAGCTGCAGAATCTTACAGTATGCACCAGTTGCACCGTTTGGATAAATTTCTGCGGTGTCTGTTTTTGTAGGTGGTAAAGTAATGCACTTTAAATAGTATGCACCAGTTTATTTTTCCAGTGATGTGCAATGTTGCTGTTTTATCTTTTTAATATTTGATTTGAAATACTTTCTATAATAGCCATAGACCTTTATATTTTCAAGAGTTGGAATGAATGTACACTTGAAATCTAGGCTCTTAAGTGATTCATGAGAACATTAAAGCCAGGTTTGGAACAGGGAAAAGGGACCCGTATTCTCTTCTTCCCCACAATTTGTTTCATGTCCCATGCTTAAAATATTTTCTTTATTATCTGCTGAAAAGCTGATTTTATTTATTTTTTTCCCCACCTACATTCAAGAAGCCTTTAGCTAGAACTGGCAGTAAAGCATGAATATTTATTTTTTTATCATTAAAAGTGATACTGAAACTTTTAAAATACAGCACCAAAAATCATCCCAGTTTCTGACCTTTTAAAGCTGTCTTTTCATAATGTATGATTTTAAGTTTTGTTATGAATCCCTTACCATCTTAAATTTACAGTTGAAAGCATAAGTGTCTTTATACATCCCCCACATCCTCCAATTGGGTTTTCAATGATGAGATTCAAGGCTATAGTTTCTGTGTCCTTTAGTTGTAGAGTCACTGCATTTTTCTTTTCTAAAATAAAACGGGTGTTCATTAAGAAACTAGTCTTGCCCCTTCCCTACAATCATGGTAAATTTTGTGATTGAATAGGTGTAGAGGCATTTGGTCTTTTTAGTACAGTGATTTGTGACATTGTCACCCAAAAGGGTAAATTTTGGTAAGAATTTAATGCTTAGATATCTCCAGGAAGAGTCCCTTGCTCTAACTTTTACACAGATAGCATGAATTGCTAGGAATGGAACAATTCAGGGAAAATGTATATATTTAAATTTTTATATTAAAACGTTGGGATCCATAATACAGCTTTTTATAAAAGCAAGTGGTCATGGTTCAACTTAATGGCTGGTAAATTGTACTGCATCCTATTACAGCTCAATTTCAAGCACAGAATAAACACCTTTCAATCCTAACCACCAGGAGGGGTAAGTGCAAATGTTAGGTTAGCCAGGTTTATTCATAAACTAGGCTCTGGGCCTCTGAGGGAGGCTCCTGTTCTTAGAATTTTTGTTTGTTTTGTTCTAGGCAAATGTTATGCAAAGCAGGACAGATACATGAGTTGAAGATGGGATATGTAGGAGCAGTAAGGCCAGTAGATGGATTTCAGCATGTTACACTAAAATATTGTTCTGGGGTTTTTTGTCTTGATTTAATTAAGCATTATAGCTGAAACTCTTATGTCAAGATGTGCTACTTTATCTTCTTAAAAAGAACAAAACACTGATCATAAGCCTACTCAGCTTTTCAGCATGCATATCCTCTCAGTCAAACTGTTCATTGTCAGGTTTGAATTGGAGAGATGAAAAAAGGCAGGGAGCGTTTCATAGGGTCTATGAAATGAAGGCATTGGAACTGAAAGTCTGTTTCTTGATTTAAAACAAATAAATTGTTACTCATTATGATTGTAGCTTTTGACAAATGCTAATGGGATAATACTGTGTTTGATGCTGCTCTTCTGCTCAACAGCTTCAAGCAGCTTGGAGCCAAAGCCAGCTGTATAAGACTGGCATCTGCTAAAAGTTAGTGTTCTTAGTACTAGTTTGAGTCCTGCCAAGAGCCTAAACTTGCTAAAGGTAGGAACATTTTTTGTCTAGCTAGATCCTTGCTACTTTCTTCTCTACTGTCTTTGCATCTGCTGATGGTACTGAATGTTTTTTCCCTTACAAATGTTACTGCTTGTTCGGTTGATATGTAATACCGTACAGAGGATGTTTTTTGCTGTAATAATTCTGAAGACATTGTTTCTCTGTATTGAGGTCCAGTGTCCAAATGTGTTTCTTGCACTCTAAAGTACATTAAGTTTTTCATTCTAATTTAATAAATGTATCATCTAAATGAAAGTGTATTATGTCTCTGATCTAGAATTCAAGTATCAGTCTTGCACGTTAATTAACAAGTTATACTTGTTCTTAATGTGATCATCTGGTGGAACTAGTACAGTAAATGCTCAAAAGTATTTTAAGCATTCATGTCTAGATAGATGTCTTTTTCTAACTCTTCTAGGTGCTGCTTTCTCAAGGAAATATTACAGTGTTGAAGGTCTAGAGGACAAAATGAAACAGGGATGAGGTTGCATTGTTCAAGACAATGTTGGAGGGCAAGGGAGGAGGGAAGAGCAGTGGGTGGATATGGAGGAAATACTCCGCAGTGTGAAGGAATTGAGAAGTCTCTAGATGAGAGTGGTGTCCAAGTGAAGTTACAAAATAGACCACCTTATGGGCTATTTTAGCTACAGTAAGAGCTGGCTTTATCTGCTAATATATAATTAATGAATTTTAAAGATTTGGTTTACATAGCATCTCTTTAATTCTATGATTGACTGTGAAGTTATCCGAGGTCCTCTTTCTCATTTAACAGCATTGCTGTGCTCAGTGATTATTAATCAACTGCTAGTCTGTAGTATTAGTGTGTTATCAAGCTAACATTTGGGGTTTTACTGTCCAGTTCATAGTGGTTTTTTTTAATCGGGAGTTATTTTTTTGTAAACAAATGGTAGTTGAGAGGAATCCTTCACAACTGCATTTCCTCCGATTTATTTCCTTAATGTACTTAGTACCTACTATATAATGAAACTGTGTTCAAATTTTGCTTTCTTCTAGCCCTTGAGTGTCAGTTGAATTCGCAATTTATGTTTTAAAGCTTACAGTTTGCTTTCACATTTCTCCAGTGCACTGTGAGAGGTAACAAAGGTGAGAATTAAGTTACTTAAACAAATGTTGGCGTTCTTGTGGCTGCTAAAGCATCTACTTAGCATTTTAATATTTATTAGCTTTTTCATTTAGTGCTAATCAACCAGTGATGATGTGTAGGGGTGTAAAGAGAAATCAGTGTGTCTTGAATTACTAAAACATTTAAGAACATCAATGAGAGCAGGGCCTCTAGGAAGAAATGCAAATATGTGTTTTCTTAGAAGAAGTAGGAAAAATGAAAACCCATATTAACAGTCTTCTGTGCTGGAGTTTTAACTTCTAGCCTACTGTAGACTTCAACTTTCTCTCCTGGATTATCAGGAAGGTTGTTTAGAAACCCAAGTTGATCTATTTTTATACTACAGTATATTTTAGAAGGGGTTTCTTTACTATCTTGCCAAAAAGTGTAATTAATTTTCTAAGAACAAATAGACTTACGTACTTGTGATATGCCATAATTTCTGAAGTAAAATTTGCATATAGATGGGAAAAGAGAATTTGTGGAAAGCAAGTAGACTGAAATTGATCTTAGCTGTTTCTGTATTTCCATGTGTCGGAGAACTATGAAAGTATTGCTGTTTGGAGTATTCAAAGAATTCACTTTAAAACATGTTTTAAAACATTAAATGTGTGAATGTGGAATATGAAGCAGACTAGATACAAATGGACAACCTTTATAATTTTAATGCATTTGTCATTGGAAGAGAATGAAGGATGATTCAATTTATTTTAAAATTAATTCCAATTGTAAAATACAGTGGGTGAAAAAGTACATACACTGAGCTTGTTTTTCATGTCTTTGTTGTCCGTGTTTCTTTATGGACTAGATTCAGGAGCTTTTCACTGTGTCAAAAGAATGTTTTTCTACCTTAAGTGCATAATTTCTGTAATAGTAATCAAGTTAATGTGGGGCATTTGGGTTGATTTGAAATGCTTAATGCTATTTTTAAAATCAGCACTAAGTAATTATAAAAGTGCACATAGTGTGGTGAATGGCAAGAAGTTCCTGCCCACTGTGGTTGGCAAATCTCCTCTATGACTACCCCACCTTCCCA